ATCTGATGAGGGCGGGGGGGAGATGTTTTGCTCGACCGGGACAGCGTGGGAGCGACAATAAGGGGTATAAGTGACAGAGCAGGCGAAGACAGAGAGGAGGACTCGAGACTCAGGGGCGTCCGGGCAGATATAAGGATGCGTCAGGCAGGCTTGCGGTTCGAGTATAAAAATGCGACCAGAAATGCGACCTGGACATCAGATAAAAAACTAAGAAAGCCTAAAAAAGGTACCTAGAGGCCACCACTCTTTTTCCCTTCGGCCGCCGACGGGGAGAAGAATCCGACTTGCAGCCAATAAATGCTTGTTCCGGACGATCTATTGACCCTAAAGGCACCGGGTTGAAGGGCGCTGGCAGGCCGTGGAGCAGCCACACAGCGCGAAGCTCGACGTCGCTCGTTGTGCTCATGCGTTCTACATCGCCGGCGCAGGCAAAAAATCCCGGGTGGCTCCGTGCCTCGGCCGATTCTTGCATGGCCCGGATAGCTAGGTACTTAGTTAACTAGTTAGCGACTTCGGCCGTCTGGCTGCAGAAGTGCCGGCGGCGAGCAAGAAGAGAAGACCAGAGAAGGCGACGACGAGGTGAATAGAAGCTTGATTTGTAAAATCCTACAAAGCATGATAGAGCAGCTCGAAGAGCAAGGGCGTTGGCTAGACGGCTGTGTGATTTATAAGTGCTACCAAAGCATTTGAAAGCAGGCCTGCGTCGAGACGTATCATAGCCAGCCCATAGACATGCACTTTCTAAAGTCCCGCCAGGCCTCCGTTTCAATCCTCATCCTCTCTACTGCTTGTTCGGAGGGCTCTTCAGCTACTGGCGGTTCTTCTTTGTCGGCATGGGAGAAGTGTACCCGCCCAATTTGAGATCCAGTCCAGATGATCAGCCCGTCTTGGTCCAGTCTGCTGCCCCTGGTAGGTATGATCTTGCGAGCTACACGGTTGTTTGTATCATAATCGCAGTCTTGCTCCCTGGTGGGGTTAAGCACCCTCCCTTCTATAATCACCGGGGACCTGCCGTTCAGGTCCAGAGTCCGTAAAGGCGTCCTGCCGTCTCTCTCCATCCACATGATGCGGCCCATTGAATCTGAAAACACAATCCGAGATCCATGGAGGGCTACAGAGAGAAGCTTTGAGGGAGAAGTAGACGCTCTGTTGACGTTGACCGTTTTGATTGTGAAGGCAGAATTGCCCTCTGTATCTGGAGATGTATGGGAGTATATCTCTATGGAGCCAATCCCCCTATTCTCCCCGCATGCAACGAAAGACTGACCTCGAACGCTGGAATCTGACGGACGATAGTATTTGGGGATGGCTGGCAAGGCCGCCAGCCCACATAACCGAGCGCCAGAGTGTACACTTGCTTGTAGACGTCCCAGATTCCGGCGGTCATAAAGAAGGATACTCGAGAATCGTCCAGCCACTACTATGGAATTCGTGCTCGGGGGTGGAGGGTGGAGGATGCAGTGAGGGCCGGGCTGAAGTAACTCGGTATAATTCACTGTTCCAGGATTTCCAGCAGTTGGATGTAATGATGAGTGAGACTCCAGGAAAATAGATGTATCCCTCTGTTGATACACCTGCTGGAGTCTCGGGTCGAATAGATGGAGCCCTTTCCTTGTGGCAACCGTAATAGGGGCCTGGTAGTCTGGCGTCTCCTGTGATAGAGCAAATATACACTCTGGATAAGTTGTCTGCGAGATCATCTCCAGGGTGGACAAGTCCACTTCATTAACAACGTTGGCGTCAGCGATATATGCTCTCCATGAGGTAGAATCAACACTGATTCGCTCTGTAATGCCATCATGTACCGTATCATTCAGATCAGCCGACGACGAGAGACCGGGAAGCGAAAGCACAGAACGACTTGACCGGGCAGCTTTCCCCCGGCTAGCATCCCAAATAGCCACCAAGCCATTCTCAAGTAGTCCAACAACCTGGTCGTCTGCACCATAACTCCTGTTCTTTAGGACGCCAACCCCTTTGGCCTCCAGTGGGCGACCACGGTCAATAAGGTCTTCAACAGCCGGACTCTGTAACCAAGTGACATTCATAGGGCCATAGCGGGCAACGTATTCGGCACACCAGTCAATTTCCTCCTCTGGATCTGACGGGTCCCAACGCACCGCAGCGTTGGCCGGGGTATCCTCAAACAGATGAGACTGCCACACCCGTTTGCTAGATAGTGTATATAAAGCGAGCTTCTGCTTCAGCTTCATAAAGCGCTCTTTCAGAGCCAGATAGCATATCTCGCGCCATACGACGTTATCACGCGCGGCAGCATATAGACTCCTTGATACCAGCTGCAAATGGACCAGGTCTTCAGGAGAGAGATCTAGTTACATCGTCAGCCAGATCATTAGTATTTTAGTAGGTAACAGGAACATCATACAGCTAGTGATTACCCGGAGAATCTCAAGTGGCAATCGGTCCATCATAGCATATCATGTGTCGTGGTTTACGGTTAATTGGTAGCCTAGTGTGTTTAATTGATCGTCGGAGGTTGAGACGTTGAGTCGTAATGTTGTCTGAAGCCAGCCGGATAAACTAAGTATACCTTACATCATAGATTTGCCATCCATTTATTGGGCCTACGGTCTCTGCTACAAAGGACCGCTTGTTCAAATTTCCTTGCCGTACCTCATTTTAACATTATATCTTGTTATATATCTACGATGGAATGTGAAATAATACCAAGTAAAGCATGACATCTCTAAATTCAGGGCATATACAGCTCATTGATCGGGTTTCATAACTGCATCCTTACATAAAATCGTAACTTTTTTGAAGAACCGGCGCCATTCCAGTGGATCTGCCTTGATCTTCACAAATTCAACTTCAACAAGGCCCTCTGACACCGTCTCTATAAGGATATTCCCATGGAGTGGGCACTTCCTATCGTCTGCAGTTCGTAGTCGGATAAGCACCGATTCCGTGGATATCTTTGGTGCAACAGGGACGTGCAGGAGCTGCAAGGCCTCGCAGATCCGAGAAACCAAAGATTTGGCAGGCCAGGTGGAGAAGAAGCGAGTAAGACCCGAGGCTGGAACAATGTCCTGGAACCGCTGCGCGTTCTGGGTGCGACTGAGTGGTACCGATGGCGTGGCGCAGAACTGCGACATGGACGGCTCTTCGAGGAGCTGTTCTGCTAGAAGAATGGCTTGATCAGTAGTTATACCATCCTTAGGCTGGGAAGCTGACTGGAGCCCGGTTGTTAGTCGAGGCGGGCCGTCCCAATCCATGAGGCTGGGATCCATAGGGGTCTCTGGCTGGGTGGACGAAAATTTAGGCTTCAAGTCATCGCTGGCCCCCAAATCAATATCCATTGGATCAGAGCCACTGGGCTGTGATTGTGCCTGTGACGAGGACAATGGGTTCTGAGAGAAGTCGATGTGCAGCGACTCGAACATGGTTGTAGCAAGCTTAACCGGGTTGGCGAGCTTTCCATCCACAAGGTGTTTGTTTTGTCGTGTAAACCAGGGATGTCTGCGAATATCTGCCATGTTGAACCTACTATTAACGTCCAGCTTTAGCATACCACGAAGGAGCGAGAGTGCATCCGAGGGGATATCATTCCATAGCTCATCCGAAGGCCTTGAGTTTGATTTGACATAGTCACAAAACTCGTAGCTCTCGTCTGTAGGGCTATCCCATGGGGTATTCCCCACAAGCAGCACGAATAGCACAATACCACATGACCATGCGTCTGCGATATCAGCTCTGTAGCCCTGGCCCTTTGAGTGACCTCGATTGCTACACCGAATGACTTCGGGGGCAATGTAGGGGGGACTTCCACACAACGTGGTGTTTAACTTCAGTTTCCCGCCATATTCAAATAGCGTAGCAAGTCCAAAATCGGCAATCTTCAGGTTTCCATCCACGGATAACAGAATATTTTCCGGTTTGATATCTCGATGGCCAACTCCCTTAGAGTGCATAAATCCAACCGCATTAATCAACTGCGAGAAGTAAACATGCGCTATATCCTCGCCCACACCTTCATCAGCTTCAATCTTGTCAAATAAGTCACCACCTTCAGCAAGTTCCATGGCAATCCACCGCCAGGCCTCATTCTCCCCTGTATTATAGAATTCTATGATGTTCTCGTGGCTGCCGATATGTTTATGCAGCGCGACCTCCATCTGCAGCTGCTTTGCACTAATATGCCCATGTTTGGCGGCATATTCCTTATGTATAAATTTCACTGCAAAGATAGGACCGTCCGCATTCGTGGGACAGCCCTTCTTGATGCTAGAAATGGGATATCAGCAGGCTATCAAGTAGAGAGCGCGTAGGAAAAAAAAGAAAGAAAGAAAGAAAGAAAGAAAGAAAAAGCAGGCAGAAAATGGCAAACAATACGCATTGCAAAGCATATATTTACCATGCATAGGCCCCCTGTCCTATTGTCCGTGAGACTATGCGGAATGGCAAGTCATCAGGCAACGGCGCCAACTGCGAATGCTTCATGGCCAAACGAGCGTCAGGGTCGAAGAACGAGTGAAACAGGACTCTAGGATCGCAGCCCAGCCTGCATGAGACAGTCCTTTGCCAGCCTCTCTCGTCCAAACGGCCTCGTCTTGTGCAGCTGAACTAACTGACTGTCCTCGACGCGGGACGACGCAGTTTCAGGTTGATCCCGGCGCGCGCAGGTCGAGTGGACGAGAAGCGCCCTTTGGGGGTTTCTTATCGATAAGCCGTGCGGCGGTTGCCAGGGAAATAAAACACAAACACGGCGAGCGAACAAACGAAGAGCGAACAACTTCCAAACCGCCCGGCGTCTGTTTCTTTTCTGGCTGACACTCTGCGAGGACGATACCACGGCGTTAGATATTGGGGGCCTGCTTTTCGTTTATCCTTTTAATGAGACAGACTTGAGTCCTAGCTAGCTGGGGCCCGATATTTAATACTCCTGCGAGACCACCGCTCTTCCCTTAATTCTCCCATCATCGACTCTCTAGTAGAGCCAGGTCGAATACCTTATTGAAGTGAATCAGTCGAGAGTGGCCATGGACTTCGCTATTGAAGATTCTCAGAATGCGGCTCCTGAGGGCCAGGCCAATGTCGAGCACTCGAAGCTCGGTTCGACAGCTTCCAAGCCGGACACCCAGAGCGTTACCAAGAGGTTTGTCTAATGGACTTATTCTGCTTTCATCTGACTATTTAGTTGGTTGATTTTGACATTCATACTAACTGTCTTATCCGCCAGACTCCAGAGTGAGCTCATGCAGCTGATGATGTCCCCTTCTCCTGGCATATCAGCCTTTCCGGACGGAGACGGAAACCTGCTCAGCTGGACTGCCACCATCGACGGACCTGATGACACTCCCTATCAAAAGCTCACCTTCAAACTCTCCTTTTCCTTCCCTACAAACTACCCATACGCTCCTCCTACCGTCTTATTCAAAACGCCAATCTACCATCCAAATGTGGATTTCTCTGGACGGATCTGCCTTGACATCCTCAAGGAAAAATGGAGCGCAGTTTATAACGTCCAAAGCGTGCTTCTCAGCCTTCAGAGCCTTCTAGGCGAGCCTAATAAGTTCGTTATATCCGTGCTCGATTATTAGCCTTCGTTTACTTGCGTTGTGTTACTAATTTGTATCCTTCTATAGTGCAAGTCCCCTGAACGGACAAGCCGCTGAGCTGTGGGATAAGGACCCTGCAGAGTATCAAAGGCTCGTTTTAGCTCGTCACCGAGAAATCGAGGCTGGCGAGTGAAGTTTTACGTCTAGATCTTAACGATTCCTGGGAAATGGTCTTCGGGCCAATTCCAATATAAACGAATTACATTGCATTTGTCGGAGGGCAGGGAAGAAGGCATTTTTATTTACCGTTGGTCGTTGGATTCTTTTCTTCTTGGTTCGGACTGGGAGCTGGAGTTTTCTCCATTGGTGCTGCATGAGAACGCTCCAATGCGCTACAGCCCTTTGGAATGGACGAAGCTGTGTTTCTTCTTATTCTGCATAACCTGGTACTTTGAACGCTGGCACTGCACGACAAGAGATGCCCTATTAATGGACGAAAAGATGACAAGTGTGCATTGTATCTGGTGGATTTTTTGCTTCTCTTGCTTCTTTCTTCAAATGAATTCTAATAATCCAAACCTGCTGTCATGCCTCTTTTTATTTAAGCTCCTGAGTAGCAAGCCAGAGTGCCTATGGACTTTATAGCTGGGTCCTTGTTTATCCGAATGCAAGCATCCGTGTATATGCCAATAAACACCAAGGAAGAAAATTGTATGCCTTGAAATACACAAAATATGGAACCCATTCACAGCAGCATCACCCGTTCAGTTTACAAATATCTTGCTAGAGGCCAAAAAGTACTAATCAATAGCCATTATTCGAGCCCAGAGACACGGAAGAGGAGTTTTTACCTTCCGTCACCATGCGATGTCTAGTCTGCCGCTGTTACTCTTCCTCCAGTATATTATTCAAACCATATGGCCTATCTGGTGATTCCTGAGTCTTGTTTGGCCCTGGAGGCCAACATTCTCACGCTGAAGCCCTCCCCAAAGAGCTCAATCACCTGGTCTATGGCTAAAATAACACAGCTAATTGGTCCTCTGGAAAAGAACAAGATTCCCAATTTTAAGCTTGAGTTCGATCTAGCTGACATGTTTGTCCAAAGACGGATAATCGAAATAGGTTCCCTGGAGGACGAAATTAGCAAAGTTAACGCGTCGGGCGAGTACATTGATTTTATTCGGTCTCTCCTAACTATTGACCACAAGAACCGGTCAACAGCAGGGCAACCGTTACAACACCCATGGCCTTAGAGGAGTGTCAAGGAGTATATTGGATTTTTTGAATTTGGGTATCGTGGCGGCGGCTGACAAAAGGCACACCTAACCATGGAATCTCTCGAGTTCAACTCATGATTTCTTATGCGATGTTAGCCAATACTCGAGTCCCTTCTTCAAAGAGCCGTAAGCTTTGAAGAAGGCAATGCCGTATAAACGGGCCGGGGTATCAGTTAGCATGGTACTCGACACGAATGTAATCTTTTTTCCTCGTTTTGCAGCCCGTGCCCCCTGATGCAGGAGAGAAGATAAGGAAAGAAAGAGAAAGCCAGGCGGTCAGCCCTATAAATAGGAATTATATACGGGCCCTCGTGATGTATAACTATTTACAGAAATGAACTGTGCATGTCATAATATATCAAAAGCAAGGCTCTAATGGCCCTAGCTTGGCCGTGGCGTGAACTACGACAAGTAATATCGTGTTCTCTTGGATATTGGAGTTTGTTGAGAGGAGAAATTAAAAGCCACGTAAACATATAAGTAGATAGTTGAAGCTATGAACGCCGGGTCCAATTAGCTAACAGGCTCATATTCACATTGCCATGGTCGAGTTCATTCCCATGGCCATGTCCTTTGGTTTAAAGAACTGCTGTTGGTCGGTAACTAGAAGTCCAGCGATGCTGGCACTGGTGAATGTGCTCAATGCTCCTGTCAACATGGCGCTCAGTGCAACCTGTGACACGTCTCCAATACGGCTGGGAGCCAATTGGGCCAAGACACCTATTTGATTACCAAGGGATCCAATGTTCGCAAACCCACAAAGAGCATATGTAGCGATTAGTCGAGAGCGAGGCGAGAGATCGGCGTAAGTAGGGTCTTGCTGAAGGGCAGTATAGGCCACAAATTCGTTCTATAAATACTGGTATGAGAGAATGAAGACGGTACGGGGAGTGGGACAATCATTAGTTATAACTTACCGCGACAAGCTTAAGACCGATAAGCTGGGCGACTTTGTAGAGATCACCGGTTCGCGGGACGCCTAAAAGGAAGGCAATCGGGTAACAGAGGTAGCCCAGGATAAGCTCCAGGGTAAGGTCTGGCCCTTCGATTGTCAAATAGCGACCCCACCAGGTGAGAAGGCCGTTGATAAGGCCAATTAAAGAAATAATGCACAAGAGAGTGGCAGCTATCATACTGCCGATCTTGAGACCCAGCCAGGCGCCGGTTGCAAATGCATGAAGTGCGTTTTTCGCTTTGTGTTCATCATCTTCTGGGACAACCACCCGGCCAGCAGTGAGAGTTTCTTCAGTTTCGGGATATCTCATTTTCGAAACTGCCAGAGACGCAGGAATACTCATAACACAAGACGAGATCAAAGCCTGAGGATTAACTCCTATTCCAACATAAGCAATCAATACACTTCCAGCAATTGTTGCGAAACCAGAGCACATGACTTGATGAATTTCAGCCATGGTGAGGTAATTGATAAACGGTCGGATAAGCATGATCGACTCTCCTTGGCCGATGAACGGTGATGCTGCGGCAACAACAGCTTCTGCTCCAGAAACACGCATGGCCCAGAAGAAGAATGACGCGAATTTGGCAACGAACCACTGTATAAAACCAACGTAGTAGAGCAGCTGAACCAGGGACACGAAGAAGATGATGGCAGGCACCACATTAGCCAAAAACCATTTTATCTTCGCTGCATCCGGAGTGGTAAGAAATTGGGTGCCAAGTGACGCGAATCCCAGTAGATCTGTCGCACGTTGAGAGATGAAGTGGAAGATATCATATCCGACCGTGGTTCGGAGAACAAAGATAGCGATGACGAATTGCACAAGCATTCCAACAATAACTGTCCGCCATACAATCTTTTTTCTGTTCTTGGATGTGATCCATAGGCATAACAGGAGTAGAGCAAGGCCAAACAAGCTAATTGCTCGATTTTCACGAGTGTTATCCTGAGACTCCTCAGACACAAATGCACCGATGATGATCACACATACAACCAAGGCAGCAGCAAGAGGCGTTTGCATCTTCTGAGGGATCATGTTGGCAGCAGGCTGTGCGGTACGGGACCATAACCAGTATATTGGTTTGGTCACTATGGAGATGGGTACATAGTTGAAAATGACCCTGAGAGTGACGCCGAGATAGACAAGGAATGGGACAACCCATCCGAGTTCCTTGCGACGAAGGATTAGACCAGCAATCCACCAGCTGAACCACTTATCGTCAGCAAAACTTCATACAAACTCGCTCCCACGATAAATGAGATAGCCTAGCATGCCAGCAAGAGACAAAGCAACTCACCCTGTGAAAATTAGCCAGATCCCTATATTTAGCGCAAGGCGAATCTCCTTCTTGTATCGCGACCTTAATGTACGCCTGCCACCCTCTGAGGAATTTTGTGCGCTTTCAACGTCCCCCGTGGTTCCGACGACAGGCTTTTCGGTCGAGCTCACGATTCTGTCACTGGTATTGGAAGTCCCTCTCTCAGCAGCCGCTCCATCTTCGACAGGCTTTTCATCATTCATAGCTTGATGGACATGATGTGCATCGTGGTGCTGATGCGCTGGGTTCAAGGTTGGCGCCGGCGGATTCGCTCCTGGAGTTTCTGGAGATGGCGAGCTGTCCGCAACGGGGTTTTTATCTTGTTGATTCTCCATAGTTTCACCTGCTCTTAGTCAAATAGTGCCTCCCGACCGCCCTATAAAGTGCGAGGTGTTTTCTTGAGATGGCGTGGAGGATGTTAAAGTGCCTGAACTCGTCAGCCCTCCAGCTTTGGCAAGGGAGCAAGCAGGTTGAATGCACAAGCTCCCTTGAGCTCAAGATACAACGACTCGATGCAAGATCAATTGACACGAATGTTGTCGGCCGTTATAGTGCGAAAACTGCCCACGCGTACTTCGTAGATTGAAAGGAAATTTATGGCAGATGTGTGGGATGATGCAGAGTTTGTGCGGAGTACCGGTGGCGGTCCAGCTCTCCCAACTTAAATTAGAAAGCCACAGGGCCGAGATGATGGTAACTATGTTGGAGTTGCCTGGGGATCGGCCGGCAATTATGTAGAAATGCGCAGACTCTCAAGTCAGGGACAGTTCGGCACGAATAGGCGAAGGCCGACAGGATTTTTCACTATAAATTTTTACTCCTTTGCGATGATCTCGGGCAACCCCAGATTTAGAGACGGTCCCGTCCTGCCCTCGTGAGACGCGAGAGAAGCTCTCTTGGGTGGAGCCGAACCATGGTTGCATTCACACCTCGCCCGAGCCCAACAGCTGCGCCAAAAGCAGCGATGCAGGAGCGGACAGTGGTAGCGTGCAGAAGAAGCTGGGGGGAGAGCATGTTGATTGGGTCGACCGTGCATTCCTGGCGTAACAACAATTCAGACGGCTCGTTCTTCTGGTCAGGCTGGGGTGGCCACGAAGCTCACGCAACGAGGCTAGGGTTCGCTCGTCGTCTTGCATTTTATTGATCATTATTCCCCTTGCCCGAGCGGCCATTCAATTTGCTCATATGTCAGTTCTAGGGCGTTTTTGCCCACGCCATGTTCGTCCAGCATTTGGCCGACAATGGCAAGCAAAAACGTGAGTGGCGGGGCGTCCCTGCGCTAGGAATGTAACGTCGTCATTTCTCTTGATATTAAAAGGTCATTATTATTTTCTAGCTGGTAACTACCCGCCACTGATGCGGGAGGGGAGGTTTCATACCATCCAGGTGCAACCTCGGCGCTTTGGTGGCCCAGCGGCCAGGGATGTTTGACAAGGCATTCTCCGGTCCTAGAAGGCTGACTTTCGACCCCAGATCCGACCTAGAGTACTTGAGTACTTTCCAACGGTCTGGTCCCATCGAGTCTTAAGTAAATTGTCCTCGCGCTCGCTGTTGTTCTTCAGATGAAGTTGAAATGAAAAAAAAGACGCCCTTCGATGTCTCCTTAGGGAGGGTCACGTGTCCCTACTTTAGTCTGATGTCTCGCTCGCCGAAACAATAATGTTTCCATACGATAGACGACGCCAACGACAACGACAACGATACGTTTTGTAAAGAGGCGAATATATCGGTATACCTAAGTGAGTATGGGCTTCTAAGTGAAGTCGCAAGTACCTAACTCTGCTCCTGTAATATATCATGCGAATACAACTGACCGAGCGTGTAACCAGGTAGTTCGCCGTATCATCGACTAATAACTAACTAATACTCTGGGTTTATGGCTGTCTCATGAATAATACAGATCTGAGGAAGGAAATAATGCTGAGATAAATTCCAGCTACTTTATCGCACCTCGTGGCCTGAGGATAAGATACACAACAAAGGCATGTACCCTAAGATCCGGTTATCCTAACTCTATGCAGTTAGACAGGTGGAACAGGAAGCATCTCAGCAACCGCTTCGGCGTTTGACAATATATGGAGCAAATTGCTGCTCTATATCCATGTCACGGAGATAAGCCCGCCTTCATCCCAAAGAAGAAGCTCGTTTAGGGTAAACCTTTTTTATGAATGGACGACTTTCCAACAATAATATGGCATCCGGTTCTTTGTCCGTGTCGAAGCAAAGCTCGGCCAGCGGGGAAATCCAGGTTAATTCGACATAATGCGGGGTGTACCGAAGTGTCACCAAATCTGCTGGCATAGACCATGGCCTCCGGACACAGTATACGGAGTATATAGCCTTCTTAGTGAGGTCTTCAACAGAACGGCTGTTTTATCACGGCCCAAGGATCATGCGTAACCATCTAGCAGTGCAGGAGATCTAGATTCAGCAGTGAGTATGAAAGTGCGGACTTACATTGCCATGGCGAACTCTCTTTCTCCAGCTATAACTCGGCCAGTCGGAGTGAAAGAAAGCAACACCGTCGTGCAACGGGCTAGTTATAGGGGCTTAAAGATGCGTTTTCTTGCAGCTGCCCCTACCTCGGCCAAGAAACTTATGGGCTGTAAAAATAGGACATTGGTGAGGTAAACATTTAATTAGCGGCCTATGGAAACTTGTCCAAGATCGACCTGTTGCTGGATATTCTTTGTCAAAGTCACACCGATACGCAGATGATGGCCCAGCCAGGGGATTTCAAGGAACCCACTCGATATGCTGCAGCCCTGGAATCACCACTGCGATCACCGCTGCGGAGTATGTCCGAGTCGCGCGATGACCCATTTGGACTTGTTCTCTTTGCTCAATTCGTTGCTGTGGTCAGAATGCTTCTCTGTTTAGCTAACTATTAACTGGACCAATTTAACCTTGAGTATTAACAGGAAAGTGGGGATCCGGTGTATCATTATCAAACATATATACAGAACTAGGTGCTTGCGGAAAAGTGGATTGAGTTAGGGATATATGGCTTATATACACTGTGCATAACGAGGTCTTCCCTTCCTGTCCATATCACCTTCAAAGACAGGGAAGACAAGCCACAGACTTTGATCTCGATAACCCAATACCCCTAATAGAGAGGAATTTTCTACTCTTTACGGGGACGGCGGTGAGGATGAAGAGAATGAGACAAAAGACGGGACTTATGGAGCTCCTGCTGATGTGGTACCAAAGCTCCTACCCCCATATAATTATGCGTTGTCCTCACTTGCTAGATGGCGAGTTAGACAATCCATGGCATCATGAGCCTTGCCCGGAGTGTTTTCTAGATAGAGGGCTAGAAATGGGGCAAGTGCTTCTTATTTGTATTGCTGATCGAGAAGTATGCGTGCACGGGTTAGTACTAATCTCGCGATTAACTATCTGGGAAGGATTCTACCATAGCTATCAAGACTAGAGGCAAGGCTTGTTGGGTGGCATGGATCATGTAAAATGACCGAATGGCCAAAGCGCCGCTGGAAAAAGAGCCTGGAGAATTCTATATTTGCGGCGCTGATGGTCATGCAAACAATTAGTCAATTCGGGATCATAGCCAGGCACCGCTCATTTCTATCTCGGTTTCGGTTTCGGTATAGGTAGTGCCCCTGCCATCCAGAAGATACCATACCACTGCTTAGAAACAAGGTGCGCTTGTGTTATACAATGATGTGGGTATTCTCCATCAATGGTAACTAAAGGTAAACATCAAAATCTGAAAAGTTACACTCCGTGTGTTTCCCCGTCTTCCCGTTCTTTCATTTTTGCTGTTGACCATAATATTAGTCGTCTGTCAGTACGAGGGTGATCTCACTTTGGTAATGACGAAGTATTATTTATTAAATAGTGCTATTTTGCTAACCCTCTACTCCGTAGATGAAAGCAAATATCGTAAATACATAATGCATATTTTCAACTTGTCAGAACAGATCTGGGTTCAGCCTCTTATTCCAACCTCCTAGAATTATCACAGGTCATTGATCACCCTAACGGATAGTTATGTGGCCTTGCAGTTCTCAGCGGCGAACATCTGGGCGCAAGCGGGCAGTCGATTGTTGTAGATGTTGTCAACAGCGAAGTACTTGTACTGCTCCTCGCAGTTGGTGGTAAGCACGGGCAAGATGCTGGCCTTCTTTTCCCATAGAGCGGAGACTGCGCTGGACTGGAAGCATCCAAACACCTCCTGCAACGCCTCATTCTCGGAGCCACATAGGTTGACATCGCGGAACTTTCCTCCGGAGCATTCTTTTGCCCCCTGGAACATGGCATCGATCATGTTGATGTAGTATGGAGAGAGAGTAGGGGCTCCCATGGTGGCACATTCATCTTCGAAGAATTTGGTGACGAATGGCTTGATCTGGGACTCGTAGTTGGAGGGGATGAGGTCGCATCCTCTGCCGCAGAATTCCTTCTGGAAAATGGTTCCGACTTTGGCAGCATCAAATGATTGGATGACTGAGGGAAGCTTGAGGCAGGAGAGGGATGGAATAGCAACGACAGTGCTACCAGCCATGGCGATGGCGAGGATGCTTGAAACGGCGAAACGCATATTGATAAGAGCTTGGGTGGAAGATTGTGACTGCGTTGAGGTTAATTCTTCGGCAGTTCAATTTGGTAGATGAAGAGTGGCTTGATTGAATAAGAAGAAAATTTGAGGCCTTAACGTCCAAATTGGAGGTAATGGGCAGCAATTTATACCCTGTCCATACCTATCCATATATCTTGCTCCGGTCTTTCCCAAGATGATTTTTCCGATACCTGAGTAGATCCGCGGCCCTTCTTCCAAGCCCAGTGGGGTATCGTTTGTATCCAAGCTGTTCGGCGGAGTACGATCAACCCATAACGTCTTTAGTCAACTTGCGGGGAGCCTGCAGTTCCACAAACTAGAGACAGGGGTATCTTTGTTTTGCCTTCTTGGGGACTGTCCACCCAGGAAACGCCGGAAGTCTACTGGATTCGCCTAAAGAGTAGATTACCCCTTCGCGTATTGAGGAAAATTACTGATTTGACAGCGCCTCCTTTATGGCTAATGGTAGATCAATTTTGAAATGGTCTACAGAGTGCAGCGCAAATGGCAGGAACGTGTTTTTAGTGGACAGGCACTCTGCAGCATGATCTTCCAATCCAGCCCACAAACTAGTGCATGACTGGGACTCTGAATACGGGTTATGCGATTGGAGTCTGAATTCGCTTTCCTCAGTATTCCTATGTTTGCGGTGCCCTTGGCAGCAGGACATGGTTGACATCTACGGAGTACTCCGTAGACAATTTGTTGTTTGTTGGAGCAGAACAACAACTTGGCCTGCACTCAAAACCTTCCAACGGTTTGTTGTCGTGAAGAAAAGGTTGAGGCCAAAGCCAAGCTCTCCTGCCAAGATGGCCAGAGCTTGAAGCTAACCTTTTTAGACCTAGTTGACAAGCTTATGCTGATCATTTGTGGAGAAATCCCGATGAATTGTCACAGGAGATATAAAATACTACATGTCACACGTCGAAGTAGACGGATCGACCGGAAGGTCAGCGGGTTTGCTCTCGGCATGGCTGGAACTATTGCGCATAGTGGTCTCAAAACATGTATACAGTAAGCCTCACAGAGATAGTGTGCTTCAAGGATCATGCAGTTGGCTTCAGAGCGCAAAGAATCCAAAAATTTGACAAGAACG